GATAAATTTTGTTTAATTTTGATTAATTTATTATAATAATTTTTGCACATAATGAGTAGAAATTATCAAGAAGATCAAAATAATGAAATCGAAGCATTGGATTCTATATATTGTGGTGAAATGGAAAGTGAGTTAAATGTGTATTGTCTACTTTACGCATTTTGCCGAAAACGTTTTTTTTGTTTTTCTTTAGTATTGGAATCCCAATCAGTACACAAGTTTCGTATACCAATAGCGACTGAAGAGTTTGATAAAGATCAAGAAGAAAATGGTTTAGCTTGTAAATTGTTATTCACTTACACACCCACTTATCCGGATGAAGCACCTCTAGTGGAAATTGATGAACCAGTAAACTTTGCGGAAGATTTTGAAGAACGTTTATTACAGCATATAAAAAAATCTATAGAGGAATATTTGGGTATGGAAATGATATTTAGCTTAGTTAGCACAGCCCAGGAATGGTTAAATGAACGATGGGATGATCATAAAAAGGCACAGGAAGAAGAACGAGAACGTAATTTGCTGGCAGCCGAGGAAGCAGAACGCAAAAAATTCGAAGGTACTCGTGTGACGGTAGAGAGTTTTATGAAATGGAAAATGATATTCGAAGAAACCACGGGTATAACTGCAAAGCGGGAAAAAATTAATGAAAACAAAAAACTAACCGGACGCGAACTGTTTATGCAGGATAACACCTTAAATGAGTCGGATCTTAAATATCTATTAGAAGCTGGCGATAGTATCGAGAGCGTTAAAATTGATGAAAGTCTATTCCAAGCCATAGGCGATATTGATTTCGACGACGAAGATGAAGAGGATGAGGATTGGGTACCTGGTAATGATGATGATGACTAGATATATTACATCTTTTCTTTTTGGAAAACTGATTTACTTTTATCAAAACCTGCAGAAATACACGCAAAAACCATTGGATTAAAAATTTCTTGGATATTTCTTAAGAAAACATTTTACAAATAATCGGAAAAAAGCGATAATGATCAATTCAGTCTAAATTAACTTTAGTAGTACTCATTTCCGATAAATGCAGTCCCTGATTAACGGTTTCTATATCATCTAACGAAAAGCATTCAAAATCCGCATCGCTTGTCGAATTTGATTTGTCAGGGTTTTTATCATTAATTTTTCTAACTGGTTGCACTTTCTGTTGTGGAAGATCTAATCTTGACCAAGAGCCGGGTTCCGCTTTCACCATTTTAATTTCAACTTTGCTTGCGAACATATGAGCAGTAGTTTTGGACACATCAATAATCTGTAGGAAATAAAAAAAAGGATTTTTTTCATATTTGTCTTCATAACTGTCTTCTTAATAATTATCCTGTACTTACTCCTCTTAATTCCAAGTCCAATTCAAAATTAGCATTTTCTTGATCGGAAAAAATCAAAACTGTTTGCAGACGTACGGGGTTAACTTTAATTTTACTATGGGCGTAATGGTATTTTTTTGCGTATATTGAGACAATAACACTAGTAGGCGTTTGATGCCAATCATAACGACACTGTACAACTTTTTTATCACTATTGTCTTTAAACCACTTGTGCTGACCGTATTTGCAACCTGGCTGCGCCATAAACACTGCAAAATCTGAAGTCTTACGTTGACAGCAAGACCAATATTTCATGCCTTCATGAAAGATCGGCACACCAGGATGATAACGGCATCGATTGCCATCGGTTGCACTATCAGAAAAACAATAATTACAACCCGAGTTCTTGCAGGCGGTACCAACGGTTAGTTCGCTGCAATACAAAAAGCCATTATCGTGTGATACAAATTGAATTGTTCAAAATTACTTTGCATCCGCTTCGCATTCCAGTGTTGCACTTTTTGTTTTCAAATTGTCAATGGTATCCTTTAAGGCAGCAGCCACTTCGGGTTGAATTTCTGTCATGGCCGTTTCCAGGGGTGGTCTTTCCATAAGTGCACGTATAGGTGCTATTTTTTCCTCAGTTTTTTCATTCTCTTCATTCTCTACAGCCACCGGTTTCTCCGGTTCTGGCGGCTTAATATTCGAATGTTTGGACACAGTGCAACCTTTTATACTGAGAAACTCTGTAAAATCTACGGATTTCTTATTGCAGCACGACCATCCCTTATAAGCATCATGAAAAAATGGTGCGCCTGGGTGATGACGGCATGAATCTAATCAGAATGTATGAGTGTGTACGCGCATCAAACAATTGTATATTCGTATTTCTTTATTATCGCAAGTTCTGCCGCAATTTCATTGAAATTCCTACAAAAACTCTTCTTTACCTGAGAAATTCTTTTCAGGATCATATTCCTGACCACAGCCTCTGTTATAGCAACGCAACATTTTATCTCCCATTATATTTCCAATAAATAAATTTCGACGTTTTTATTTTGATCTTCTTTTTCCTCGTTATTGCTTTGTACGATAGTACCGCAAATTATCTGCGATTAGACGTTTAGAACGTGCAAAATAAGATTATAAAAATTTTTTATTTATCAGCTGAGCAACTCGTTGCTCATACAGTGTTGTATGTCTTTAGCTCTCTTTAGAATGTGTAGGTATGCTGCCACTAGTTGCGATTACCCAATAAACGCTACTAAATACTGCACATACGCGAAAAGACATTTAAAACTTCATTTGAAAAGACAAATATTTATGTCCATATATGTGTAATGCACTGAAATAGTTGTTTGCTTTTGTCTTTTGAGTTCCCGCGTATTTTCCACATATTTTCTTAGACCTCTACTACCCCTTTTTGCGATTTGTACACTTTTGCAATGCTCTCTAACCACTGACAGAATTATACATGATAGAAACACATTCTGAAATTAGAGGGAGAGAGTCCTAGACACTTAAAAACGAAGAATGTTAACAGTTTTCATACAAGCAACGATTTTGCGGAGAGGATTTTTCTCTTTACAATTGCAATCTTTGGAAACTTTTTGAAAAAAGCTCGACATTGGCTGACCGGGGGATGAGCACTTGTGCTCCATGCGATTATTGATTAAAAGAAGATTTTTTGACTGTACCTTGGCAAATAAATAAAATAAATGCTTAGAAAATGCTCTTGGATGGACCATAATTATATTGTCGTCAAAATATACAAATCTTTGCGACTGTTTTCCACCAAAAATTCGTGCAGAGTTTTCTTGCATTTTAAACGAATTTTGTTCCTTCAAATATGTGCTATTTTCATCAAAAATCTTATGATTTTTCTGGTGCTATCATTGTAGAACCTCTGGGATATCTGAGCGAAAAATTGAGCCAAGTAATTTTCGTAGGTTCTCTTTGCAAAGTCCACTTCACACTATTAAGAAGCTTTCACGGAAATCGAAGCAAATCCGAATCGAATGGGTCAAGGTCCAATTTACGCAGTGGTCCCATCAAAGCTTCCTAGCCAAGCCTTTTCCATTTTTGCCGAGACGTTAAATGCATGTGGTTTGGCTTTGTCAAGGTGGAAGATAACGCTTCACCTCAGTCGCCTTGGTAGAGAGTGCCTACTGTTTACCTGGCATGGTTGATACAAGATTGTCTTCCAATCCTAATAGGCATATTGCTGGTTACGAGTTTCATCCAAAATCTTTTCGCAGGTAAACGTCTCAGGTGGCCGTCGTTTTTCGTATTTTGTTGATGTGATCAAAAATAGTTCGATTTTTTTGTATCGTTGACGAATTCGATCTGCCTGAGTGGCACTTTGGTAGAGTTTTCGTTTGTCGTAGCTATAGGGAGCGTTTACTCGGTGTGGGCATGGCACATGCCCACTAACCTGCGGCGATCATGTCCTTATGTCTGTCTCTTTCTTCTCTTCTTTTCTTTAATACACCTTTTAACCCAAAGTCGGGATTCATTTTGTACATATAGTTTCGTTCGTATATACAACGCCGTCGCGAGATATCGTTCTTAATAATTTGAAGAATCTCATTGGCTTTATTAACGATCGGGGTACTTAGGACGCGGCACGCTTTTAAAAATGAAATTTGCGGACCGGAAACGAACAAATCATTTACGTTTCCGTTACATGATTCTGATAAAACGTCTTCACTATAAACATCGCGAATTTTTCCATAAACTGGCGAAATGTTGTAAAATGCCCCTATGCGAGCGATAGTATGCCTTGATAGGTTCAATGTTATTAAAGCTATATGGCTCGCGTGTTAGGAAAAAATCCCACGACGTTTTTTCTCTTGTCTAATGATTTCTTATTTATTGTAATCAAATATAAAACCGTCCGGCTAACCCAGGATGAAGCTCCTTCAGAAAACTCACAAAAACGTGCGATTTATGGAAAAGTGGAATAACATTACTCATTCATCTTTCCTGAGAAATGCACAACGTGCCTTGAAAAAAAAACTTCTGACTAGCAACGGACAATATTTTGAATGACATCTTATTCGACATTATAATGAAAACAAAAAACCGAAATTAATTCAAGGACATCCGCTTGAGTGGCGGCGTACAAGAAGGACAAAGAATCTCAACTAACATAATAACCCAATGATCGTGGGTTCAATTCTCGAGTGCGCTAGAGTTTCGAATAAAGCCGATAGACGCTCGTACTGCAATTTATTTCTCTAAATTAAACTATGTTGAATAATAGCAATAATATTAATAATAATTCAAGGACATGAAGTTTTTAAATATTTTCTTTCAATCATTTTTTTACTTTAAAGTAACTCTTAACAGTTCTTCTTAAAATTTGCTTATATTTATCGAAATTTGATTTTATACAAAAACTTGAACCGTTTCGTTAGCCTTGAGCTACCTTGACCCTGTTATCAATTCTTAAAGTTTTGCTTTTCTATTTAACTTAGAAATACATGTGCTCGCACAAACACACACTTATGTTTACACAAAAAGCCCTCAAACACATGATTGGCAAAGATACGCACTTATACATGAACAAATTAATGGAAAGCAAAATTTAGATAAAATTTATGTTAAAATGTTTTTAATTTTTAAATATATGTGTGTTGTGTGTGCATGTGTGTATCTATTTGATCGCTTGTTGTACATAATTAATACTTAAAACCTAAACATTAATAAACAAGTTTGTTTTTCTTAAGTGATGTGCATTGGTGTGTGTGTGTGTGTGCGTGTGTGTGAGAAAAATCATAAACATTTCATTTTGAATTGTATGACAAGTGTGTTTGGCCTACGTGACCGTTAAAAATATATATATATATATATGTGAAGGTATGGTGAATAAAAATATCTATGTATGTAAATATAATTGAATTGTATCTGTAATCGTATTGCTTGACTTGACTTGAGCCTGTTACGGTTACACGATATTGCAAAGTTAATGTGTTGGTGTCTGTTAATCAATAATAAAATAGAGAAAAAAAAATAGAAATAATGTTGAGGTTATGACTGAAAATTAATTTCAAAATTTCTTGGTCATTTTGGTTTTTTTTTTTTTTTTATCCAAGAATATCAACTTAACCACAAACGATTGCATATGTCGCTCGTGTGGTTTATTTTAGTTTTTTGTCTTTGTATTTTCAGAAGAGCTGTTGTTGTTGTTATTATTTTTAAAAATAATTCACGCCTTTTCAAAGAATGCAATTGTTCGCTATGTTTATAAAAAATATTCGAAAATCTTATACGCACACATTCATATTCCCATAGAAACACAAGCAGACACATACACACACACACACACGTACATACTTACATACATATACACGTATACAACATTGAATAATATATTTGTTAGTATATAGATATGGTGGTCTTATTATTATTATTATTATTATTATTATGTTTAACTATATTGTGTTACACATAGACAGATAGACACACACAGAGCGAGAGAGAGAGAGAGAGAGAGAGAGAGGATTGTATAAAGGTATTCATATACATACACATGTACATATTGGCATATCTTTATGTACGCGTCGGACGCGTTGGCATTTGAAGTTGGCACTTGTTTGCTTAAATTGTTACCATTGATTGTTGTTGTTGTATTGGCAATTTCTTGTTATATTGTATACAAGCATGCAGTTGTCAGTTATGTTTTTCTGATTTTCATTCTCCGCTCGCGTTAGTATTATTGGTATACATTGATCGCAGGGAGTATATTAAGTCATTCAAATGTTTATAACCCCGCGTTAACGTCCATCTGCCCATGTCTGCTGTATGGATGTTAAAGCTTTGCCTAAAGTGTATCAGTTTGGAATTTGGAGTTTTTCACTTTTTACTGCGTGTAGATTAAGCTCAAAAATTTTGGAAATTCGTTCATAAGTTCACTCATAAAAATTGTAAAAGGGTACAAAGTGAATATTGACTGCTGCGCTATAGTCCAATATCTGACATGTATGTTTGATCAATATGAAAAATAGCATTCCTGCCTACTACATCTAAACTTTTTTTTCTTTATGGAACAAGCTCTCTAATGCTAAACTAAGTTCAAAGAACAACTTGATTAATCTTCTTTATGGTCTAGACTGTGAACTATATATATTTTCGATCAATCATCTTGGCTGCAAGCATAGAGAACATCATAAAATCTTCTTTATAATTTCCTTTGTTCCGTAGTTAATGTTGAGGGATCAGATTAAAGTGGCTCAGCTAAGCTCTGCATAAGCTTTCTGCCCACCTTCCCTCCTTCCTCCCAAATTTCAAAAGTACAATTGCTTTCTTTCTGCTCTTTCATTAAGTTAAATTGGGACGTCAATCAGCAATTATGTGTTAATTGACAACAATGGAAACGATTTACTTATCTTCCCTGCAGAGAAGATCTCAAAAACTTCCTTTGCGGCCGCAGCCGTATACCCAGATATCCGATTCAAGTTTTCTCTAAAGCAGATATATCTCCGACTAAACTAAATAGTGCAAAAGATTTGACCATGTCCACTTGCTCGTGTTTAGAAGCTCTTAAAATTCGTTCTCTTCAAATTAGTTAAGCCGATATAGAAAATCATCAACGTTTACTAAAAATCAGGAATAGTTTTCAAAGCACTACCTATCGACGAGCCTACGGATTAAACGCTATGTGTACTTTGAGTAGTGAGTTATTTAAACCTTTCTATCTATCTGTCCGCTACGATCGTAATTATAGACTCAAGATTTTATCTATTCACTTATGACAGTGAAATTAATTTAAAAATTTTGTTGTTTTGCTGCACTCATGCCGCGCTCAGCTCCCGGGGCTGCTTAATGAGCAATAGAAAAAAATCGGGAAATTGGAAATCTAATTCCAATAAATTATTATACTTCTTTTTCAATTGTCTCCTTGTTCACAAATTCTCGTGGTTCTCTATATAATTTTTTTTCGACTATTATCGCACTTATACGTATAGGAGACATAACCTGAAAAGTTATTGAAAAGAAAAAGAACAGGATACAGGATCTTACATTATGCTGATTAAAGAAAGGTCACGCTTCCTATATATCGGGTATCTAGGGTTTGCTCTAAGGCATACATAGCTTTCTTGTTTATTTCAGGTTAAGGAAAAATAAAGATAATCAAGTTTGATAATCTTCACGTG